CATTAAGGTTGACAGATAACAATATGGAGATCATTTCATTCTAACCAGAGCACGCTGTACCTGACTTGAATGTAAAAGAGTCTCTAAATCTGATTCTGGTATAATCTTTGTTTTTGTTTTTTTCTGTCAGATCGCTGCAGCACCATCCTTGATAGCCCATCTGGGTCACTGAGCTCTGAAAGCTACCAGTCAAAGAACTCAGGCAATGCTACCTGTTTTAGTCTCATCCGAATCCCATCCAAAAGGGTAATTATGGGATCTGATAGTTTTTTATATGTAATTGTACTGATGTCTGTCTGATTATGCATTTAGCTTTGCTTGTTACACTTCAGTTGCCAGATAGAACATGACACAGATTTCAAATTAAGTTCCTTTCTTGGGATATACAGCTGACATAATAGCTATTTTCTTTCTCTAATTTATAACATTCATATTCACATGCTTAAACTAGGGATAGAAAAAGACAGGAGGGCTACGTCTACACTGGCCCTTTTTCCGGAAGGGGCATGTAAATTTCACTCGTCGTCGTAGGGAAATCCGCGGGGGATTTAAATATCCCCCGCGGCATTTAAATAAAAATGTCCGCCGCTTTTTTCCGGCTTTTAAAAAAGCCGGAAAAGAGCGTCTAGACTGGCCCCGATCCTCCGGAAAAAGTGCCCTTTTCCGGAGGCTCTTATTCCTACTTTGAAGTAGGAATAAGAGCCTCCGGAAAAGGGCGCTTTTTCCGGAGGATCGGGGCCAGTGTAGACGCTCTTTTCCGGCTTTTTTAAAAGCCGGAAAAAAGCGGCGGACATTTTTATTTAAATGCCGCGGGGGATATTTAAATCCCCCGCGGATTTCCCTACGACGACTCGTGAAATTTACATGCCCCTTCCGGAAAAGGGGCCAGTGTAGACGTAGCCATAGTGTCAAGCTGGAACTCATATGCAAATAGAGTAACGATCTTACAGACAGAAGCAACTGGTGTCTGTGCTGTGAGGAGCTGCAGGGAGGACCACCAGAGGGGACATGTAGGGACACCCCAATTAGCAATTAAAATTTTGGCAGGGGCTGATTTCTTTTGTTGTTTCCCTTCGATCATGAGTAACCAATGCAGCTCACTCATGCCAAACTGAGTGGCTATTATCTCATAGACCTACCTATTTCATATGGTAAAGGATCCTAAGTAAACTGTATGATTCTGTCATGCTGCCTTATAGAACAGGACATGGCATGGATTTGTAGATTTCTCCGTATCCTTCCTAACCCTTCAGTGCTACATTTGAAAATTCAATCTTGTGACACTAGGTTACAAATATTTCCATTCTAACTCCTCCCTGAATGGGTATACACTATAGAGGTCACTCACTCAATCCAGAGGTGAAAACACATCATCCTCTTGCTATTGCAGATTTTATTTTTACTTCCCTTTGTTTGCCATTAACATTTTTTCTTTCCCAGATTTATTGTTTTCCATTTGCACACGTTTATTGTTTGTTTTTCCTTCTCTTTTTCCTCTAGTGAACAGCTGGAGGGGAGGGAAAATGGATGTCCTGAATGCCAAACAGAACTCCCATTTGTAATGACTTATCTGAGTAGAAATTGACAAAATCCTTTTTGAAGCCTATCAATGCAGTATTTCAAACATGGGTCTCTTTTAGGCACTATGCAGGGTTGTTTTTTGCAACAGGAAACATTTTATAGGGACGAACTCACCAAAGAGAGAATTTAGGTCCATTGGGGATTAGAACTGAGATTCCATAGAAAAGGTATCTAACAGAAAAACAATGTTGGGTATGAAAATAAGAAAGGAATGGCTAGGCAGTCATTGGGTGTAATATTATAAATTAATTTAAGGATAACCCATAGAATTACAAACCAGTCAGCTTAACTTCTGTATCAGAAAAGATAATGGAGCAAATAATTAAGGAATCAATTTGCAAACATCTAGAAGATGATAAGGTGATAAATAACAGTCAACATCGATTTGTCAAGAACAAATAGTGTCAAACCAACTTGACAGGTTTCTTTCACAGGGTAAAAAGCCTTGTGGAAGGGGAAAAGTGGTAGCTATGGTATTATATCTAGACTTCTGAATGGATTTTGATACAGTCTTGCATGATTTTCTCATTAACAGACGAGGGAAATACAACCTAGATAGTGCTGCTATAAGGTGGGTACATATCCATTCCAGACAGTAGTTATCAGTTATTCACAGTGATACTGTGGAAGGTCATAATGAGGAGAGCTCTAACGGGGGCAGTTCTGAGTCTGGTTCTGTTGAGTATCTTCATCAGTTATTTAAATAATGTCCCAGTGAGTGGACTTAGGCTATGTCTACACTATGAACATTTTGCAGAAGAGGCAATGCAAATGAGGCGCTCATTAACATTTCCTCGTGCTTCATTTGCATAATCTCTTCCGACCCATTTTGCACAAGAGGTTTTTGCACAAAAACAAGCAGTGTGGATGTTTCCGTTTTGCGCAAAAACCCCTTTTTGTGCAAGACCCTTATGCTTCTATTTTACAGACATAAGGATCTTGTGCAAAAAGGGGTTTTTGTGCAAAACGGAAATGTCCACATTCCTTGTTTTTGCGCCAAAACCTTGTGCAAAAGGGACTGGAAGAGAGTATACAAATGAAGCACAAGAAAATGCTAATGAGCACTTCATTTGCATTGCCTCTTCCGCAAAAAAACTGTCATGTAGGCATAGCCTTAATGTTTGCAGGTGAGACCAAACTGGGAGGGGTTGCGAGTCCTTTGGAGAATAGGATTAAAATTAAAAATGTTCTGGACAAACTGGAGAAATGGGCTGAAGTAAATAGAATTAAATTCAATAAGGACAAATGCAAAGTATTCCACTTAGGGAAGAACAATCAGTTTCACATATGAGAGGGAAGTGACTACCTAGGAAGGAGAACTGCAGAAAGGGACCTAGCGATGGTAGTGGAACACAAGCTAAATGCAGGAGCAGCCCGAGGCTGGCTGTGGCAGCTGGCGCCCCCGGTGGAATACACGATCAGCGCCCCCACCTGCACGGCCATCAATGGCCGTGACGTAATCACCGGGTGCCCCAGGCGCCCCATGATGTCATAATCGGGCGCCCCAGACACCCTTCGACCACCAAGTCTGCCTATACTCATGGGCTGCCCCTGGCTAAATATGAGTCAACATATTTTAAAAAGAGCTAACATAATTCTGAGACATATTAGCAGGAGTGTTGTAAGAATAAAGAAGTAATTAGCTGTGCTAATTAGGCCTCCCCTGGAGTATTGTGCCTAGTTTTGGGCACCATATTTCAGCAGAGATGTAGACATTTCTGGAAAAAGTCCAGAGAAGAGCAACAAAAATGATTAAAGACTATTGAAAGGAAGGCAGCTGTTTTCTGATAGAATTTGCATGAGGAAGAAGAGAGGGAACTGGAGAATTGAGCCCAGTAAAGTGAGTTGAGTTTCCACTATTCCTGGATGGAATATTATATAAATATGAGGGGAAAAAGAAGAGTTGTTGGCGACAAAAGATGTCACCAAACATACTAAACTAGAAGAGAACAAGATCAATGATGAAATTAGGACACAGCTAGGATATGGCCAGGTGGGGGGGGGAGCACTGTTGTGTTTTATGCTGGAGAGCATTACTGCCTTCCCGCCTTCACCTGTGTGTAACTACAACAGACGAGAAGGGCCCTAGCACAATCTCAGACAGAGTGAGGAGAGCTCCCCCCTGTCCCTGTTGCGGAAGGGCCAGGCTGCACTGGGACTAAGGCAGCACAAGAGGAGCTAGGATATGGCCAGGTGGGGGGGGGAGCACTGTTGTGTTTTATGCTGGAGAGCATTACTGCCTTCCCGCCTTCACCTGTGTGTAACTACAACAGACGAGAAGGGCCCTAGCACAATCTCAGACAGAGTGAGGAGAGCTCCCCCCTGTCCCTGTTGCGGAAGGGCCAGGCTGCACTGGGACTAAGGCAGCACAAGAGGCTCCGGGACAGGTGGTCCAGGGGAGCCCAGCCGGCGCTGCGCATGGCAGACGATGGGTTCCGGCCCCCGGCGGG